TGATGGGAACTTGGGCTGTTTCCATCTTAGCTGTTGTAAATAGCTCTGCTATGAATATAGGGGTGCATATATTCTTTCTGATTGGTTTTTCGGGATTCTTAGGATATATTCCCTGAAGTGGGATCAAATGGCAGTTCTATTTTTAGTTTTTTGAGGAAACCCCATACTGTTTTCCACAGTGGCTGCACCACTCTGCATTCCCACCAGCACTATATTAGGGTTCCCTTTCCCAACATCCTCGCCAGCACTTGCTGTTTGTTGATTTATTGATGGTAGCCATTCTGGCAGGTGTGAGGTGATACTTGATGGTATTTTTAATTTAAAAAATATTTTTATTAACTTCAGAGAGGAAGGGAGGGAGAGAGAGATAGAAACATCAGTGATGAGAGAGAATCATTGATTGGCTGCCTCCTGCATGCCCCCTACTAGTGGTAGCATCGAGCCTGCAACCTAGGCATGTGCCCTGATGGGGAAGTGAACCATGACCTCCTGGTTCATAGGTTGACACTCAACCCTGAGCCACGCTGGCCGGGCTGTAGTTTGAATTTGCATCTCTGGTCCTGGCCCTGGCAGGTGAGGGAGGCAATCAGTTGATGTGTCTCTCACATCGATGTTTCACTCTCTCTCCCCTCCCCTCCTTCCACTCTCTCTAAAAAATCAATGGAAAAATATCCTCAGGTGAGGATTAACAACAGCAAAAAAATCAAATACATCAATGGATGTGTTTGTGTGCCTCACTTTCTGTTCTTCCTGCCTTTGAGGAAGGTCCTCATACACGGTGCTTAGTCATTTTGTCAGATCTCTGAAGTGGTTGCTGGCAGCAGAGACTAGCAGTTCCCAGAGCAGTTTGCAAAAGCAAGGTTGATTGGCATGGAATTTTGTCAACAAGCTCTTATGTTAGACTATCTCAGTGAGCTGCTGGGGTGAGAGGGAAGTGGATTTGTTTGCAGTATTAGCTCCTTACCCTTCATACGACCTTTGACAAATCCCTTGACTTCATCTATAATGCCATCCTAATACCCACTACACTAGAGAGCTATTGAAAAGATTACATAAAATAAGAAAGTGTATGAGCCACTCTGCCGAACGCATTATATTACCTGGTTTATGTTAACTGCCAGGGCCTTCCCCTCCTGGTAAATGATTATTTTTATGGCTTATTTATGTAGACTGGTGTTCTTGTAATTCACATGACGTAGCAGGAGTCCGTTTCTCAGGGGAAGAATGAAAGTATCGCTTGACCTGGGTATTTATCTGTTTTTCCTGAAGTGGATTGATTCTAGGATGATACCTGCTTTTTCAGGCCCGGTTTTCACAAAACTTCCCTAAATTAGACGAAAGTAGATAATTAGGGTAAAGAAAGTGTTTAAATTGTAAGACATTCAAAGCAATCCAGTATGTCATTTTGAGCCCCAATTTAGTCTTTCTTCAGGCTAGGGCTGGGCTGCGTGCTCAGCGTTTATCCAGAACAGCGTCTCACTGCCCAGGGGTCATGGTGACCCTCCTTCCAGTGGCTCTCAGGTGACTGTGCACTTCACATGTTAGCACCAGGATTTGGTTCAGTCATTTATCTAAAACACTCAAAACCTGCTGTGTTGGCCTATGTGTATTTCATAAATATACTGTCAATGTTGCTTTTTGTGTTTTTGCTGTAATCTTCCCTACCATCGATATTCTAGTTGTGGTAAATGGGCCTAATTTCTATGTCTCTACATTTTAATGGGCATACACAAAAAATTATAAATTATTTTACCTGTAGCTTCTGGATGAAAGAGATTTGAGTTTCTAGCAGAGGCTTCTTAACCTGGTGTTCGTTTTCTCTGGACTTGTTCGATTCCTACCTGGTTGTTGGAGGTTCAGCCTCAGGTTTATACAAGATCCCATTAAGTTTTTGCTGCCTCCCCCTCCTTGCCCCCAAGATAATTATGTGTAATGAATTTCCTTGTATTTACTTACTTTTTATTTTGTATTTATTTTATTTATTTGAGAGAGAGAGAGAGAGAGAGAGAGAGAGAGAAACTGATTTGTTGTTCCACTTAATTATGCGTTCATTGGCTGCTGCTTGTATGTGCCTTGATGGATGGGAACAATGATCTAACCAATTGAACTACCCGGCCTGGGCATGATTTTCCTTGTTTTTTAAATGTCCTCTTTAGAAGACAAGTTAGGAACAAGTTTGAATTAACATATCAAAAACAGATGCTCCTTGATTTGCTCTTAGATATATTCAATAATCTTTCCTTATGCTGATTTTCACTCTTACATAATTTGCTTCTTTTTATAAAAAAAAATATTTTTATTGATTCAGAGGGAGAGGGAGAGAGAGAGAGAAATACCAATGATGAGAGCGAATCATTGATTCGCTTCTTGCACTCCCTACACTTAGGGATTGAGCCCACGACATGGGCATGTGCACCAGGAATCAAACTGTGACCTCCTGGTTCATAGGTCGACTCTCAACCGCTGGCCGGGCCCAATTTGCTTCTTAAGCAAACTAATTAAAAATGTGTTATGACTGACATTTGATAAGATTTTAATTTTGAGATTTTACCAAGCGTTCTTCTCTGAGAACTTTAATGAATTCATCAAGACAGTTGTAGTTGCTTATAACTGCAGTCTTACTAGTGATCAGTTTGCAAGCAGGCCTGCTAGGCAGTGCAAAGAGATAGCAGGTCTATGAGGCAGTGACTTTCATTATACAGGGGTGGCCCCCTAGCAGGTAATGGAAACAGGAAGAAGAACAGCAAGTGTATTTGCCCAACTGCTCATCACTTTCAGAGAAATCTTCCTAGGCCCACACTCAGATAAGAGTGACGTTACTTTGGAGCATTAGCTGGGAGGAAAGGCCTGTGAAACAGTATCCATTTTTCCTAGAAGTCCAAAGAGGATTTGTAACCACTTGGGGTTTTCATGTGAAAAGCCAAGTGTTGTTGTTTTTTTTTTCCCCTGCTTTTATGGGATGGTTTGTGGATACTTCAGAATCTCTTCTTTCCTTTCGGTATTATTCAAGCCTGTGGCTAAGTAGTTAGTTTAAATAGATATGGAACATTGACTTTAAAAAAAATTTATCTTTACTGTTGAAAGTATTATAGTTGTCCCCTTTTTTCCTCATTGACTCCCCGCCCCCCCAGGCCTTCCCCACACTATAATCTGTGTCCATGGGTTATACTTATATGCATATAAGTACTTTGGTTAATCTCTCCCCCTGCCCTTCCCTCTGAGATATGTCAGTCTGTTGCATGCTTCCATGTCTCTGGATCTATTTTGTTTGTCAGTTTAATTTGTTCATTAGAGTCCACTTAAATTTAAGTGACTTTTCCTATTATGTAGAAGGTGTTCAGGTAACTGACAAAGGAAAATAAATCAATAATGCTCAATTCAGCATTAGTTCAAGGGCTGACGTTTTCTTAGAACAGGGTCGATAGGGCAGGAGAAAGGGATCGCATGTGGCACTGACCCCTTGGACGTTCACCCACGTACTCCTTCTGGGTGAACAGAGAAACTGGTGTCTCACTTCCTTTCACTGCCCTTCAGGGGTCGGGCATTATTTTTATTTGAAGCAGAATCTATGTATTATTAAGGTCAGACTTCATCATCAAAACATCAGTATGAAAATACAGTCTAAAATAAAGATGTATTTTTACACTTGATCTTAGCCAAAAGGCTGAGAAGCGATAATAAAGATGTGTTTTTTATTAATGTGGTTCATTAATCAAAATTTTCTTTTGAATTCCTTTCCTGTACAATATACTGAGTAGGCTGCAGTAGCTGTCCAGCTAAATTTGGGCATGAATTTCCTGTTAATCTCAGTCATTTGGTTTTTTCCATTTGCTTTTTAAAATTTCCTGTCCAAACTCATTTACTTTTCCATTTGCTTAAAAAATTTTTTCCTATCTTGAGTTATTTCTTAGGAGTGAAATATACATACACAGATTCTCCTCCCCCCCCCCCCCCCCCAGTATCTCTTTCTTGTTATTCAGAATACAAAGGGCCCTAACTGGTTTGGCTCAGTGGATAGAGCGTCAGCCTGCGGACTGAAGGGTCCCGGGTTTGATTCCAGTCAAGGGCATGTACCTTGGTTGCAGGCGCATCCCCAGTGGGGGGTGTGTGGGAGGCAGCTGATCGATGTTTCTCTCTCATCGATGTTTCTAACTCTCTATCCCTCTCCCTTCCTCGCTGTTAAAAAACCAATAAAATATATTAAAAAAAAAAAAAAGAATACCAAAGGGTCATTTCTTCATTGGTGGATAACATACACTATTAATAATAATTGCTGGAATATTTAAAATTGTAATTCTCTACTTCTGAATATGTTCTTTTACAAACTTAAATTGAAAACATGAAGAGGAAGAGAACCCTGATCTACACTAATAAAAAGGAAACATGCAAATTGACTGTCCCTCCACTATGCCCACCACCCAATCAGGGTGAGTATGCAAATTAACCCAACAAAGATGGCGGTTAATTTGCATACACAGGCGTGGAGCGAAGACTGAAGAGGCTTGGCTTCTCTGCTGCGTCCAGACCAAAGGCCTGGGTCCGAGGTGCCGGCAGCCAGGGGAAGGAAGGCCTATTGCTCGAATCTTTGTGCAATGGGCCTCTAGTATTAAAATAAGAAGCCTTTGTTGTAAGTGGCAGTACATAGTGGAGTGAGCCCTGGAGTGGGGGGCAGCAGACCCAAATCCTAGTCCCATTCTCCAATTAATTTGTTCCATCACTGGAAAAGCATCTGAACCTTTTGGACCTCAACTCCAGACTGAAAGTTTGAGCTAAATATCCCAAGTTCCTCATGGAAGCAGACTCACTGAGAGGAGTAAGGCACTATCTTCTCTTCACAGACTTGATGGCGGTTTTCCCCTCGTGTTCGTTCAGCGGGAAGCGGGGCGCACCACAGGGGAGACATGACTCTCACAGTGGCGGTGTGGTCCAGCCAGAGGGACAGACCCAGGCACAGGCTTCTCATGAGATGCCAGTGTTGGTAGAATCTTAGAAATGTCATGACACTTGGTTTCATAAATACACTCCAAACTCAGTCTGAGGAGGAATGTTCTTTCTAGACCTAATGCTGTTGCCTTTTCTTTTGCTTTTAGGAGCTTATTTAATGAAAAGTGCCAAAGACTGAAAAACCAAACATGAGGGTAGCAGGTAAGATAAATATGTCAGTTCAGTAGAAATAATTTTGCTCGTTGTATAACCTGTTTGTTTAGTAATGATGACAGGAGGGGCCAAATAATCTTTTCTATATTGAATGCAAAGCTGAAATACAACTAAATAATCAATTAGCCTCTTTATATTTTTGTTGTTGTTGTTAATCCTCACCCAAGGGTATTTTTCCATTGACTTTTAAAGAAAGTGGGAGGGAGGGAGGAAGGGGGAGAGAGAGAGAGTGAAAAACGTCGATGTGAGAGAGACTCATCGGTTGGTTGCCTCTTGCACTCACTCGAAGCGGGGTAGGAGATTGAACCTGCACGAGAATCAAACCTGAGACCCTTCGGTTCATGGGCCAGAGTTCTAACCACTGAGCAATGCCAGCCAGGGTAGCCTCTTTCCTTTTTTTAAAAATATATTTTCATTGATTTCAGAGAGCCACGGAGAGGGAGAGAGAGATAGAAACATCGATGATGAGAGAGAATCATTGATTGGCTGCCTCCTGCACCCCTCCTTGCCCTCCCCCCCTCCCCCCCCCACTAGGGATGGAGCCTGCAACCCAGGCATATGTTCTGATTGGGAATTGAACCGAATCGAACCATGACCTCCTGGTCGATGCTCAGCTACTGAGTCACACTGGCCAGGGCTAGCCTCTTTACTTTTTTATGTAGATGGCAAATCACAATTTGGACATTTAATGGGTGTTACGTAAGTGTTTGGGAACACTTTCATTGAAATTAATTTATGCTAAATATTTTGAGTTATGGCTTTAATGTTCATGTTCTTATACATTAAGTTTATTTACTAAATAATACATAGATAATGTTCATATAAAGAACAATCTGACAACCTTGGGGTTGGTTTCTGTTTTTGCTAAGTTCTAGCTTGTTGAGGAAATGAGCTATAAAGTTTAAAAGCTTAAATTTTTTTAATGCATATGAATAAATTAAAACTGTATGTAAAGGATTCAATAAAGTGTGTTTTGCGTAAGTGACTTATATACAGGGTGGGGCAAAAGTAGTTTACAGTTGTTCGTATGGAAAATAATACCATCATTAATAAATTACACAAGAATAGTGTTTCGTGTACTCACAACTGTAAACCTACTTTTGCCCCACTCTGTGTTTGCTAGTTCAAGTTCAGTCAGCCTAAATGAGATCATGCATAGGCACATCTGTTTCTTAGGCAGCATATCAAGGAAACTGAAAAACACCACTTGATGGTCATAGTATTAAGGTAGTTATCCTTAAACATTATAAAAAGACAAAGGCATACATAACTGGAGGGGCTGATGACCCTCCTCTTCTACCTATAGTGAAAGTAGGTGTGATCTGCCCTAACTGGTTTGGCTCAGTGGATAGAGGATTGGCCCATGGACTGAAGGATCCCGGGTTTGATTCTGGCATGGGCATATACCTTGGTTGTGGGTTCAATCCCCAGTAGGGGGCGTGCAGGAGAAAGCTGATCAATGTTATTGATGTTTCTAACTCTCTATCCATCTCCCTTCCTCTGAAAAATCAATAAAATATATTTTAAGAAATAAAAAGAAAGAAAGAAAAAGAGAGAGAAAATAAAATAAATGTGATCCTTCTGCACCCACCCAGCCTCCAGCACAGTCAAGGCCCTGGAGGAAGTGTGCACTTTACATAGAAATTTCTGAGTGTGTGTCCAACATGGGCGATAACCTGTAATTCTCAAAATCAATATAGTCATTCTTTTAATTATCATCTTCTTGCCAGCAAACAAATATTTTCCTAAGGGAGAACCTCTTAGAACAGTGGTTCTCAACCTTGGCTGCACATGAGAATCACCTGGGAATCTTTTTAAAATCCTGATTTCTGGGCCTCATCATTAGTAACAAAGAAACAGAATTTCCAGAGGATGAGGTCTAGAAATCAGGATTTTAAAAAGATTCCCAGGTGATTGTAATGTGCAGCCAAGGTTGAGAACCACTGATTTAGAAGAACCACAACTTCAGCACCGTTGGGTTATACTGGGGGCTGCCAGGCAGAATTTTTAGAATGGCCAGCTCACTCTTTGTTCACCATGAAAAGCAGCTCACAGATCTGTGTCCCCCAGTCCCAGCCCCATTCCCACCACCTCGCCTGAGTTGGGTCTGCAGTGACAACAGGCAGAATGAAGAGACAGAGCAGAGGCTGACCTCCCAGAGTGGAGGCCCTTCTCATTTGCCTCAAACTTTGAACTCTAGCAATTGGAGCTTCTGATATGACACAGGCCCAACCCACCATTTTTAATTCCTTGGGCCCAGCCCTTCCCAAACGTCCTTCTATACCAGTGGAATGAAGCCCATAAATCAGGATTTTAAATAGATTCCCAGGTGATTCTAATGTGCAGCCAAGGTTGAGAACTACTGTCTTAGAAGAACCTAAAATCAAGTTGGGTGGGCAAACAAGTCTTGCTTTAGCCATAATTATGTAGAATCAAGTACAGGTGATTAAACATGATTATTAAGTAAAAATTACTGAGGGGTGCCGAAACCGGTTTGGCTCAGGTGATAGAGTGTCGGCCTGCGGACTGAAGGGTCCCAGGTTCGATTCCGGTCAAGGGCATGTACCTGGGTTGCAGGCATATCCCCGGTGGAGGATGTGCAGGAGGCGGCTGATCAATGTTTCTCTCTCATCAATGTTTCTGACTATCTCTCTCCTTTCCTCTCTGTAAAAAATCAATAAAATAAATTTAAAAAAAAAATTATTGAGGGGTGTTCACTAATGCTTTTGTAGAAATTTGAAAGTCTAGATTTCTTGATCATGAACTTACAAAAAATATTCCTTTTGAGTAACTGTACAACTATTAAAGAAAAATCTTTCCAGAAACCAAGTGCTTGTTTGTGGTTTTAAAGGGTTATAACATCTTTTTTTTTTCTTTTTAACAAAAATATGACCTTTGAGTACAGTAGGATTGCAATTACATATTTCCAGATGATTTTTTAAAAGTATATTATTTAACTAAGCATGGTTATTTGAAATAAAGCAAGTTTCCCTTTCTTACATAATTCTACATTCATTCTAGTTCAAATGAACTTTGTCATCTAGTCCATTTCTCTGATTCTGACAATTACTCCCAAGGCTAATTGATGAGTAATTGTCCACTGAGTGATGCTTATTTCATGTTTGGCACTGCTCTTAGTCTAGTTCTTCAAGGCCTTGCTTTCAGTGAGTGAATAAGGAAGATTAGCTGTTTATTGCTTTCCAAATAATGAATCCTTTCTAATTTCAAAACCATTCTGGTTGCTTTGAAATATGCTTACAGTCATTATTCATACAGTGAGGCACCAATATCTAAAGTTTATGCTTTTTGATTTGTGAAAAGTAGGGACACACTCACTCTATTGTTTGATTAGTGCAGCTCATGGCTAGAAGGAAGAGGGAATCTCATGGGAAGTTATGAATGAGGACTGTGGTGTGGCATGGGTAGGCCCTTCCAGGTTCAGAACTGGATGGTGATCAGCGCTGGAAGAGCTCCCTCCGTAACAGACATTCCAGAGCTCTGCCACTACGGAGGCTCTGCTAGCCTTCACCTGCCTGCTCCTCAGGGACCTTCTGCTTGTTCTATTACAGTTGGTTTCTCCACCTCGAACTTCTTTCCCTCTTAGAGCTTTTGTGTCCTCCTAGATCCTCTGATGGTCCAGTATAAGTGACTATGTCATGGTTTAAGACTGAGTTCTACTACTGATGAGTTATGTGAACTTAGGCAAGTGGTCAAAATTCTTAGCCTTGTCCCTCTTATTTGTAAAGGGAAAAATACTACCTTAAAAAGCTGTGCAGCCCTAACTGGTCTCGCTCAGTGGATAGAGCGTCAGCCTGCGGACTGAAGGGTCCCAGGTTCAATTCCAGTCAAGGGCACATCCCCAGTGGGGGGTTTGCAGGAGGCAGCTGATCGGTGTTTCTCTCACATCGATGTTTCTAACTCTCTATCCTTCTCCCTTCCTCTCTTTAAAAAAATCAATAAAATATATTTTTAAAAAAAGCTGTGCAAATGAGATTATGCTTATAAAGCATTTAGCTCTACAGTAGGCAGCAAGTAAATAGTATATGTCTGTGCATCTGTGTTTGTGGTATGTAGATCTGTACATATATGTAGTTTGCCTAGTGTAGGCTCCGGTTTAGCTTAGTATTGAACTCATTCTAGAACTTCCTCCATATATGATAAACTTGGTATTTTAATATTACAGTCTTGTGCAACGAAGGTTTTATCTGTCTGCTTTAAGGGACAGGGAAAGGTGATCTCTAGTTGAACCCGCTCCTGCTTGCTAGGAAATGAGATGTTAACCCATCATGTGATAGAGGTCTTAATGATCAAGAAGGAATATGCCACCTGTTTCCATTCATCTATTTAGTAAACACTTGCTGAGAGTATTACTATGTGCCAGGCCCTCTGCTGATTCCTGCTGGGGGAAGTTTCAAAGCCTTGTGGAATTTTACTGTCTTAGGCACCAGAAATGTAGGCAACTTGTCGTCACTCTTGAAAACAGGAAGCACAGCTTTTGGAAGGGAGACGGTAAGAAACGGAGAGGTCGAGGTTGATTAGTGTAGTGGTTAGCTTTGTTTTGTCATTGCCACTTCGTTTCTGTATTTGGAGTGTTTCTCAGTAGAAGTGAGGAACTCTGAGAAACTGCTGCCTCTTGGAGGCATTTGCCTTTCCGAGCATCCCAGTTCATTTCCTTCCCTCCTCTTACGATGAAGATCTCACATCTTTAGGTTTATGAAATTAGAAGGAGTATAG